CTGTTGGCCCCAAGGCATCTCTACGGCAGCCCTACACTCCGCCAGTTCTCAGCGACGTTAGCTCAGCTGGTGGCCGACATGCATAGGAAGGCGATTGACAGATCAGCTTCGAATGGAACGGTTGCAGACAACGTCGCCGAGATGTACCGCATGATCAATTTGCACCGCATGCGTCTCTCACAAAAGGTTAGCCCTTTCGACCAGATGAGCCCCAACATATATCTGGGCATGAAGTTTTTCTACCAGCTCCGCAAGGGCGCCCATTTTGAAGACGTGTTTGTACGATTACAGGCAGGGCTGCGTCGGGCCATGACACTCATTCCCGAGCTCGAGGGTAAGCTGATGCCCTGTTCGGAGGACGAGATAGGGTACAAGAAGGGTGACATGCGCATTTCGATTCCCCCGGTGCCTTGTACGGCGACGGCGAACCGCAGCACCGAGTCATCCAGGCCACGACAACTGCGTTACCAAGACCTTTCGGCGGTGCTCCCGTCCTTTGCGGAGCTTCGTGCCGGTGGCTTCGCGTCTTCAGGCTTTGCAGATGATGTCGTTCTTTCAAGCCCGTTGCTGCCGCCGCTGCCGGCCGACTTGTTCGTCGCGCAGGCCAATTTTATCACTGGTGGCTGTATCCTAGCCATCAACATGCACCACCAATGCTTCGACGGCACGGGCACCATTATGGTGATGCGTATCTGGGGCGAATGCTGTCGTTATGTGCAAGGCGATGCCTCGGCGACGTGCGCCTGGCTGGACAAAGAGAGTTTGAACCGTAATCTTCTGCAAATTCTATACGAGATGGAGGGGTATGCGAAACCGGCAGGCCAAGTAGACAAGAACGTATGGGGTTTCATCGACATCCCGGATCCGGCCGAGACAGGGTCGGAGTGTGTGACCGAAATTCAGAACCTCGTCACCGAGTCGTCGCTCCCTCCGGCTCCGTTCTTCCCCCGGAATTTTCAATGGCCGCCGAAACCCCTTCCCAACGGCCGGCACTTGGCTTCATCCACCTTTATCATTCCGACCGAAATGATTGAGCAGCTCCGGCAAGACGTTCTGGCTGACCCCGCAGCCGGGGGCCTCATCTCGGACAGCGACATGATCCAAGCATTCGTTTGGCGAGCGGCCGTCAAAGCGCGTCGCCATGTGGCGATACAGCTGCGCGACGAGACCTTCGAAACGGATGAGATGGCCATCGTTGAGTTGCCTATCGATGCCAGGCCTTATTTCTCAAAGCTGCTGCCAGAGTCGTATATGGGCAACCTCGTCGTCATCAACCGGCCGAGCATGCCGGTGGCGACGCTCTGCGGCACAGAAACAACAGTGGCGCAGATTTCACAGGTGCTCCGCGCTGCTGCTGTCCACATCACGCCTTCATTAGTCCATGATGCATTCACGCTGCTGCAGTCAGTGCCTGACTACACCAAAGTGACTACTGCGTGCATGGAGATGGAGGGGATGCACACCGCCGTTAATAATTTGATGCTTTTCCAGACGAGTGCTATCTCTTTCGGAGACGAGTTCCTGGATGATGGCGGCGTGCCATCTGCAATGCGCGTGCAAATGGATGCTATCAACGCGGCATTCCGCATGTTGGTTATACATCCACTGCGCGAGGACGGTGGGGTTGAGCTTGTCATTGGCACGCTGCCAGAAGAACTTGATGCGCTGCTGGCAGATGGCGAGTTCACTAGGTATTGTAGGTTTGTAGGTTAGCTTTAGCAGGCGGGTTACTTTGAATAAAGCTGTTGGTATTACTATTATAGGGTAGTTAGTTCGAACCGTGGGTTAATAAAGAGATTAATTAAACTATATAAATTTCTACGTAGGTATAAAAAGGAGGTTCTAACCGTAGGTTAGGCTAGTTATAATAATCGTAAATAGGGCCCCCTAATTAGCCCCTACGTAGTTAGCTATATATTATAATTAAATTAAATTTCTAATTTAATATTAACTTTCTCTTTTTTTTATTAATTTACTTATTATAATTAGAAATATAATTTAACTTCGGGCCTATTTATTAAGTCGTTTTTTTTTCTCCCTTTTTTTTACTCTTTTTATATAACTTATCCCTCTATTTATATATTAACTTTTTTATTATTTATAAATTACTTTAACTTCTTATTAAGTACTATTTTTATAAAAGCGTTAGCGAGGTTATTATCTTTATTAATCTAATATATTTTAAGGATCTCGCGTTTTTTATATAATTACTTAAGGGTTATAATATTAATTATAAGCCTCTTTTTTTTTATTATTCTTAATTTAATAAGGTATTTATATAATAAGTAAAAATTAGTATAAATAACCGTTAAAATTAATAAAAAGTTAAGTTAATTAGTAATCTTTTTTAGTATTATTAAAATTACGTAAATAAGGTTAATATTATTAACTATATTATAAACTTTTAATACTAAGATATTTCTCGTTATTTATTTATTTTTAGTTAATAAGTAATAGATTATATTATTATATATAGTAAATTTATTTTTATTTATATTCTTATTAGCTAGGATAATAATATATTTTAATTATAAAATAAGGTCGTCGTTATTCGTAAATAACTTATTAATAAAAATATAAAGTTTATTAATAACGAGGTCGATTAGGTAGTAAACGAGGCCTTAATCGAGATTTATTTATTATTACTTAAGCTATTTATTAAGTATTTTAACGTCTCGTTTATTTAGCTCTATAGCTTATACTATTTTAATATAGTTAAAAGTTACTTTAAGTTAGTATATACTTATAATATATACCCCTTATATGAGCTTAGTTTTATATTATTTTTTAATATTAATTACGTTCGGGTTAATAAAAGTAATTTTCTTACCCTACCCCTTTTATTAAAAAATAACGGTTTCTTTTTTAATTATAAAAATTCTATTATTAAATATTAATAAGTTATTTATTATAAGGACCTTTTTTAGCTTTATTATAAAGCCCGCTTTTTAGAGCTCCTTATCCTCTTTTTTTATAAAATTAATATTAAATAGGCCTAATATATTATTAATTTATATTCCAATAATTCTAAATTATTTACCTTTTTACTTAGAAATTAATAAGTACGGGTTATACGTAAATATAATTATTAATAATTAATTAATATAAAAATCGTAATATATAACTTATTAATAAGTACCTAATTTTATGAGCTTATATAGTAGTTTAAGTACTTTAATAATCGTATTTTTTAAGTACTTATTAACTATTTTTTTTAATAAGTAGGCTAGGATTTTCTTTATAAACCCTATAACCGATTAAGTATAGGCTTAAATAATATTATAGCTTTAAATTTTATATTCCTTTTTCCGTAATAATATTATTAATACTATTATTAATCGTTAACTATAGCGCTATATTATAAGTAATTAAATAAGTAGCGTTACTTTTTTAATATTACCATATCCTTAAATTATATACCTAGATTTTTTATATAATTAGGGTATTCCTTTTTCCTTAATTTTACGTACTATCTATAATTTAAATATATAAAAACTATTATATTTCTCGGGGTTATAAAAAATAAATTAATAAACTTCTCGATTACGTAGAGTATTTATTTTAATAAGATTTAATCCCTTATATAGCTTTTTAGTAGTTATAATAATACTTTTTTTATATAGTTTAATTACTAGTTCGAAATCGGCTTTCTTTTTTATTATATAAAAAGTATTAATTACTTTATTATTAATAATAAATTACTATATTAGGGCTTACTATCGTAATCTTTTATAACGTTTTATTAATAATATTAATACCTTTTTAATAATTTCTTTTTCCTTATCGTTTATTAGTATTATTACGACGATTTTATTAAGGATAATTTCTTATACCTCTATAACTAATTATATAGTTTTTTTTAACTCTTTTTCTTTTTATAAACTAAAGATTACTTTAATAAGATTTATATAATATAATTTAACTATAATAATTAATATTTCGAATAACTACTTACGATCTCTCGTAACTACGTAAGAGCGCTCGTTAATAAAAATTAATTTATATAGCCTAGCCTATTACTAAGTAATTTCGTACTAAATTTATATATCTAAATTTAAGAATATATTTATATTAACCCCTATATTAAGCTTATTACGTATAATAATTACTTTATTAATTTATTTTTTTATACTTACTTCGCGTAATATTTATATTATTTTTTTAATTACTTAGGCTCGTTAGCTTATATTTAGTAATAATAATAAGGCTAAAGTCGTCTTTAAATATACTCTAAATACTAATAGTATTAATATAAGACCGTTAGATTTTATAATATTATTATAATATTTAAATACTATTTAAAAACATTCGTTATTAATAAAATCGGGATTTTCCTTTTTAATAATCTTAAACGCCCTTTTTAATTATTAATATACCCTTTTTACTTTTTTAATATTATAATACGCTTTTATAAGCATAATTTTTAACTATATATTATAAGCTATTATATTTTCCCTAAATTCTATTAACTTAAAACTTATATTAGCGTTAGTTTTAATACCGTTTAGCGGTCCTTAGTATATATTAATTTAGTTTTTTTATAGGGCTACTTATACTATTTTTATTTATAAATCCTAGAGGAATTACCTTATTTAAAATAATATAACCTCGTTAATTATATATAAGACCGGTTAACTATTTAAATAGAAAATATTAACGACGATTTCCTAATTAAAATTAAGCTTATTACGTAATTTAAATTTAAATTTATATAGGCTCTGTGTATTTATTTAATATTAATAATATACTTTTGTTAACTATTCTAGTGCCCCTATTTTAATATCCTTATTATTTAATTATTTTAAAAAGTTATATAACCTTATAACTAATAAATACCCAAATCTTTAGTATAGTTATTTAAGCTTATTTTTTATTAAATAATTAATTAACTTCGTATTATTAATAAGCTTTATAAATATATACCCCTATCGTCGTTTAACTATTTTAAAGTACTTATTACTAAAGATTTTATTCCTTATATTATTAAATATAATACCTAGTCAATCTATATTTTTTAAATATAAAAAAAATAGGGTATTAATAAGTAAAATATAAAAAGTTATTATTCTAAAATACGTCTCTATTTCTATTATACCTAAAATAATAATTTCCTTACCTAGGCTAAAGCTAATTTTTATAATACCTACTATTAATATATTAAATATTACTAATACGATTTTTTATAACGCTTAGAATTACCCCTTTTTTTTTATTAACTATTATAATACCCTAATATTTAAAATAATCTTATAAAAATTATTTAAACTATACTTTTTACTCGTATAGAATACTTATATAAGCTTAGTTTTTAAATAATTTAAATAGTATAAAAAAGACCTCTCTAGCTATCCCTAAAATTACTTAGTACTATTTTTTTTTCTAATATTAATAAAAATAATATCTTCTCCTTAAGTATTAAAAAAATAGAATTCTATATTATTAAATTCGTCCTTTTATTTACTTCTATATTTATTATTTAAAAAACCTTCCCTTATTATTTATAAATAAAAGCTTACTTATTAAAAACTTTTATTACTTTTTATTCGTTTAACTTTATATATCTTTTAGAAACTAATAATACGAAAAATAAGTAGTTAATATTATTAATTTTGTTATAATCTAATTCGTTAGTATAAGGGGCGAGATCTTCCTCGTTTTTTAAATTTTTTAGGGGGGGTAGATATTCTAAGCTGCTATTTTAACTACTATTACTAAGTTCCGTACCCCTAAATTTACCTTTATATATAATAAAAAATTAATTAAACTAACGAGGGCTAGTTTTACTATTTACTACCCTCGACTTTTTATATTATTTATATAATTTAGTACGCTCTTTTTTAAAATAGTTACTTAACTAATATCCGTCCTTTTTATAAATAAAATATTATTTTTTTATTACCCTACTTATAAATTAAATCTCTACTTATTTAACGAATTTAGGCCTCCTTATTAATAATTACCGTACTTAGTTTTTTTTTTTCTTTTATTATATATTTAGTTAACTTAATATTATTAATAAGGGCTATTATATTTTTAAAAATAAGTTTAATATAATATTCTTATTTTAATATTAAAATTAAATCTTAGTCTTAAGTAGAGCGTTTTATAATTTTTAAGTACTTAGTATAAGGTTATTTTTATTTTTAATACGTATTAAACTACGGTATAAAAATATCTAACTTTCCGCTCGTTAATCCCCTTATTTAACTAAGTTTTTATTAGCTTATTAATTTAATTAATAAGCTCTTTTAAAATTTCTATTCGTAATTTTCCCTCTATTATTCTAACTATAAATATAAAACAAATTACTTATAGTTTAAATAGGAGCTCTAAATTCTTATTATAAGTCTTAAAGCGGCTTTAGATTACGTTAATAATACTAAAAAAGTTATTTTAATCGAAATTATATACTATTTTATAATAATAATTAGAGGCTTTATTTATAATTATAATATTAATTACCGAATAATATTAGTATTCCCTAATCCCGACTTTTTTGTAATAGTTATAAAATATTATTAGAGTTTTTTATAAAACCTCGTACTTCTTTTTAAAATATAATTTTTCTTTTAAAAAGATCTTTTTAAAATTTATAAATTATTTCGTATTTACTACTATATTTTTAATATTTATATACAATCCCTATATTATTACGTATTATTAATAACTTCGGGTCGTTTATTTTTTTTTTTATTAACTAATTAGTACCGAATTTCGTATTAATAATAGTAATAAGCTATAGATTAAAATAAGTAAAATTATTAATTATCGTATGTTTAATACTATATTTTATTTTTATATATCCTTTTATAATAATAGATTACTATTAATAATTATAAAAAGGAAATCTAGGTTATTTACCCTTTTTTTAAATTCGTTAAAGCGATTATATACTTTATTAACCTATACCTAGTTTTATAATACGAATTCTTTTTTTATAATCGTTACTATTAGAATTTTATATAGTTTTCGTAATTATAATTACGCTAATAATACCCCTTGCTTATAAAAAAATTTATTAACTACTTTTATAATTCCTAAGCTTACGCTTATAAACTATTTATTTAGCTAGTAACTAAAATTATTTATAATTTTATAAAATAGGGGTTACCCTTATAGCCCCTTTTTTTTATAAACCTTAGTTAAATAAATTAATACTACGTTAATTTACTCGCTATTAAACTAATCCGTAATTTTATATATTTATATCCTTTAATAATTTAAGTTAATATTTACTTATTTATAAAGGATTAGGATTCTATTTAAGATTAGGTTTCTTTTTCTTCTTTTTTATTTTAATTTACTAAGGGTTATACTTTAGTTTATATTTATATTAATAATTATTAATATATTTAATTTTAATAAGGATATATTTAATTTGTGCACTAGTTATAATAAATCTATACTTTTATTACTTAACGAATTTATTAAAATCTAAGTAATTCCCGCTTCTTTTTACTATTTTATTACTATTTTTATTTTTATTATTTTTAATAATTATTATTACTTTTTTAAATTACTAATTATTATACTTATTAAAATCCTTTTTTTTATTTAATATAAAAAAATAAGCTTTAATAACTCCTTTTTTAATAATAATAATAAACGTTTATATTATTATAAAAAAATATAATAATTAATCTTAGGATTTTTATTAGTTACTAATTTTTATTATTCTTTATATTTCTAACTTTTTAAGCCTCGTACTTTTTATAATTTTTAAATTACTTCTTTTTTTAACTTACTTTTTTTAAAGTAGTATTTTAAAAAAATAATTAAAAATAAACGCTAAGTAGCTTATAAAAGAGCTAAATAAGTTATTAAAAACTAAATAAATTATTAAATATAGTTAGCGAAATTAAGCTTTTTTTTTTATAAAATCGAGGACTTAAAGGACTTATTAAAAATACTTACTACTTTGTTACTTATACTAAGTAAGGTTAATTACTTTAAAAGTTTTTGTTTTTATAGCTTCTTAATACTTTATTTTATATTTTTTAAATAGTCTTTTTTTATAGCTTAATTATTATTAAGTAATTATTATTTATTAATAATCCCTTTTATTACTTAGTTAATTTTTTAAAATTAATAATTTTATACTAAGAGCTTAATATAAAAAAAGAGCTCCTTAATAACTCTTTAAAAAATTCTTTTTTTTTCCTTTTAGAGCTATATTTTCTTAGCCTTTTTTTAGGCTAATTATAATTTTAATAAGAGGTCGTAAAATTATTTTAAAATAACCGCTTTTTTTTTAAATTAATTTTTAAAATTTATAATATTTTTAATTTAATATTATTAAAATCTTTAAATTTCTTTTTTTTTTATTAAACCGTCCTTTATATTATATTTTTAAATAATACTTAGGGGGTAGTTAAGGGGGTTATAAAAAAATTATTTAAATCGTAAGCTTCGAAGTTATATTTATAAAATCCTCGTAATATTAAGCCTTTTTATATACTATAAATTTCTTAACTTAATAATTTTTATATAGTTTTTTATTATACTTATTAAGAATATTTATATTTAAAAATCCCTTTTTTTAATTACGTAGTATTTTTTTATATTATATTACTAAACTTATTTATTATACTAATTAATTAAGTAAATAGCTACTATATAAGTATTTCTTTTTATTAATTTAGCTAGTTAAATTTTAATTACGGGCTAGCTATAGAAAAGTTATTTAATAAAAAAGTTATTTAAAGCGATAGTAAAAAACTAGTTACTTAAGTAGTTTTATTAATTAACGTAGTTTAATATAATAAACGTCGACCTCTCGTAAATAATAAAGGGCTATAATTACTTAATTTTATATAATATTTAAAAATCGCCTCTTTTTTTATTTATTTTTATAAAATTACTTAGTACGAATCTCCTATTTTATATAATATTAAAAAGTTATCTTTTCTATATAATAAAATACCTTACTAATTTATAATAATAAAATTTAATTACTAATTAGTATTAATATTATTATTATAAAATAGTTAGTTCGAACCGTAAGTTAATAAAGAGATTAATTAAACTATATAAATTTCTATATAAATATAAAAAAGAGGTTCTAACTATAAGTTAGGCTAGTTATAATAATTGTAAATAGGGCCCCCTAATTAGCCCCTGCGCAGTTAGCCGTATGCTGCGGTCGAATTAGACTTCTAATCCGATAGAAGCCCTTCGACGTGCCGACACAAGAGGGGCATTACATTGCACGAGCCTAAAATAGTACCACGAGCATGGAGTCACTTTGGTCCCTTCAGCTAATTTTGAGACAACTTCATCGTGTTACAGTTGTAGGGGGATCAATGGATGATGAGTCTAGCCGTTGAGACCCGACATTAAAGCCTAAGGTCCCGACCGGTAAACCAGGCAGCCCCTTCGTCAACATTACAAGATAGCCATTGCCTCGTGAACTCTACACTAGACAAAAGCTACACCATGCCGAGGAGGGTGCGGGTGTGGTTTCAAAATGATTCAACAAAGTTAAGTGCCGGGGACCAGGAAAAGACGTTGGAAAGAGGGAAGATAGAAAGCGTAAAGGGAGAAGGGGAAGAGCAGCCGGTTGGAGCGCTTCTCCTTAGTTTAGTTTACTGATCCGGAAGAAGCCGGCTTGGGGAAGTTGTACTAACTAAGTCAACAAGGGAATGATGGCAGGAGTGTGAGGTTATTGACCAGGTCTAAAAGATATGAAATAACTATCCATAACTTTAAAAACATTTTTCGAAAAATAACCAGTACATCCAACGGATCGACCCGCAGCCCACAGCGGCATGGACTAGGATTCATAGTCAAAACTCAACGGCAGACCAGTCTAACCCCCCACGTACTGCTATGTAGATCCTCGAGGGATTAGTGCGTTACTCCGTCAAGATACTACACAACAGACAAGGATGCGATCAAGTTGTTACCCTTCCTCGTAACATGTCATTCGAATCAGCCGCCGCTCATCTTTAGAGGAATACCCTACGCACTGCAGCAATAATCCCTAATTAGTTTGTCCACTAGCCTCCTCTCTTCTTCCCCTTTCTCTCTCAATGCAACGAGCCTACGTCTCAACCTCGGGACTAACGTATTTGTTTCAACAATCCTGTGATCCGTCCATCTTTTCTTTTCCTTCCTTGTTTCCGTTGTTCTTTGAAGTTTCTTGAGGTAATCAACCTAGGACCAAATACTCCCTCGAGAAGACATCAAACTCGCCTACGGCGCCAAGATCCAGCTCCAGACAAGGAGAGACAGATATAGAGAGGACGAGCTTGTGATAACACGCATAGTCCCCCCCCCCCTCCCTTTCCAAAACAAAAGAATTCTACGTCCGACCGAAGAATTGATTGACTAGAAATTCCACAATGTCCACAACCACCACTCCCGCTGCAGCGACCACAGCCGCCGTCCTCGACAAGAAACGTCTCTCGTCCGATGGCAAGACCGAAGTCGGCACCAATATTGTCGATCTCTCCGCCGGAGCCAAGCTCGAGGCCGAGGCCAACGCCAACGTCGAGCAGCGCGCCGGCTTCACCGCTGGAGGCTCTGCCTCTAGTGTTGATCAGGCCAACAACGACCAGCCCGAGTACCCTTCGACCGCCAAGGTGGCGCTGATTATCTCTTCACTGTGCCTTGCCATCTTCCTTGTTGCTCTAGATCAGACTATCATTGCTCCTGCGCTGGGTGCAATTACGGCACAATTCCAAAGTGTCAAGGATATTGTGAGCTATTTATTGGAAACCTTCCAGCAGAGAAATTCGTTAATAGGTCTTAGGGCTGGTATGGCTCCTCTTACTTGCTCACCACCACAGCTCTCCAGCCCATGTACGGAGCTGTCTACAAGCTCTTCAATGTGAAGATTGCCTACCTTACAGCCGTTTTCGTCTTTGAGATTGGCAGTTTGATCTCTGCCGTTGCGCCATCCTCAGTTGTCTTCATTGTCGGTCGTGCCATTGCTGGAGTATGCTATCCTTCTTAATCCAATGGACCATTTATTGTGCTCATACTGATTGACCTTCTCAGGTCGGAACCGCGGGTCTTTTCTCTGGATCAATCGTCATTATCTCCCTAATCAGTATGTCACCTCAAACACCACGGCCTACATCACCAACATAATCCCCCACTAACATTCCCGTAGTGCCCCTGGAGAAGCGTCCCCTTGCCTTTGGTCTCGTCGGCGGCATGTGGGGAATCGCGTCCGTTGCAGGGCCTCTTCTTGGAGGTGCCTTCACCGACCATGCTACCTGGCGATGGTGTTTTTACATTAACCTCCCTATCGGCGGCCTCGCTATGCTAATCGTCTTCTTCTTCGTCCATATTAATCATAATTCGGCCGAGTCGCGCAACACGCCCTTCATGAAACGTGTCCGGCAACTTGATCTTGCTGGTGCCGCCATCTTCATCCCCGCCATTGTCTGTCTGCTTCTTGCCCTGCAATGGGGGGGCGCCGATTATCCCTGGAACAACTCGCGCATCATCGGTCTCCTCTGTGGCTTCGGTGCCATGATCGCCATCTTCATTGGCATTCAGTTCTGGAAAAGTGACCAAGGAACTCTGCCTCCACGTTTGTTTAAGAACCGCAACATCTTATCGGCAATGCTCTTCGCGATGTTCTTTGGCGCCGGCTTTTTTCCCCTTATCTACTACCTCTGTAAGTTTCCTGTCGCTCCTTTCCTGGAGCGCTCTGCTAACACAGCCTAGCTCTCTACTTCCAGGCCATTCAGGGTGTGAGCGCTGTCCAGGCTGGAATCAAGATCCTACCTCTCTTACTCTCAACCGTTCTCAGCGCCATCGTTTCGGGGGGCGTTATCACTGTTGTCGGCTACTATAATTTTGTCATCATCCCTTGCATGATTCTATTTACTGTTGGTAGTGGCATGCTCACTGTCCTCGACGTTGTTTCGCCCCCGAAAGAGTGGCTCGGCTACCAGGTCATCGCGGGCCTTGGACTCGGCGCCGGTTTTCAAGTTGGTGTCTTGATCGTGCAGACTGTACTACCACAGGAATGGGTTCCTGTCGGTACTGCCGCGGTCCAGTTCTTCCAAGCTCTCGGGGGGGCTCTCTTTATTGCTGTTGCCCAAACTGTCTTCCAGAACGGCCTCATTGACACTATTAAGGCCGACAACATCGGGATTGACCCTACCATCTTCATCAACAGTGGTGCCTCGGAGGTCAAGGATGTACTCCGCAGAATGGGTCGACTAGATGCGTTTGACATTATCCTCCAGGCGTATATGAAGGGTCTCCGAGACACATTCTACATCACCCTGGCTTGTGCTGCTTGTGCCTTCATCTGCTGTTTGTTCTTCCAATGGAAGTCGATTAAGCAGGGACCTGACGGTCACAGAAAGAAGGCAGAGCCTGCAGTTCCTGTCTAAAAGAAATGTACAAGTGTCAACCTTTTCGGATTTCGGTATTTAATGTAAAGTGCGGTGACCATTTCGGGCGGCCGAGAACTAGCTTCCGAGGTCTTATAAGACCTGCCGTATTCCGGAGTGTGCCTGCGGTGGCTGTGCAAATTCTCACGCATCTGCCCAGCCTGCCGTAGACTCACCCGGCATTCAGCCTAAACTTTCCATAATCCACGACCAACAACTTTTCCATCGCACCACAAATTGTCCTCAGGTCGAAGGCTCCTTTTGTCGCCAATTTCCCGATGCTGCTGATCTAAGTGGTTGAGAAGATCTCGCGCTGTTGTCGCGATTCGAATTCTCATATCTGGGCTTCCGCCAAGCCGAGCGCTCACCATTTTCCTTCTCATTTTGCACATCCGAGGGCGTCGTACGATCCTTGAGCTTGTCGGGCAGACCGCGAGCAACGTTGACACGCAGACGACCGGTTCCCCAGACCTTGCGATCCAGCGCGTTTCTTGCTGCATCGGCCTCTTCAGCTGTCGCAAAATCGACAAAGCAGTAGTGGTGCTCACCGCCCTTGGCCCTAGTAGACTCATGGGGAGTGATACGCTTACTGATGGCTAGTCTTTATCGTCGGAGTCAAGTTAGCGGCGGCATAGGGTAAGTTCACCATCGCTGGCGACTGGAGGGGGTTTCCTACGGCTTGTGGCCCTCAAGAATTTGTTGCAGTTCATCCTGATGTTGTGCCTGGTCAACCATCGCACCCAATCCTCCAACATAGAGTCTCCTGCCATCCCCTTCCGTCGCAACGACCTCGTCGAAGTGCTTGATGGCGCCGTACGGTCCGCTCTCGATGCCGCCGTTCCTACCGTTCCGCGCTGGTGATCTGCCAGCCTCGTCGCCGCCCTCACCCCGCGATCCTGACCAGTCTCCCCACCTGTTGAAGGAAGGCTCTCTGTCGCTTTGCCAGCGACTCCGGTTCTGCTTCTTAGGCTCGCATGGGCCGACCTTGAGCGGTCTACCACGGAGGCGCGCATCAAGGGAGGATAGTGCCCGTTCGGCGTCTGCGCGCTCAGCGAAATCGACGAAGCAGTATCCGGGATTCCGAGCCGATACTGGATCCATGGAGATGTGAATTTTCTCGTACCCTTCAAAGCCATTGTCTTTCAGCATCTCCTCGATGTCGACGGGTTGGATGCTGTAGAGAAGGTTGCCTAGATAAATGCGCCGGCCATCCTCTAGGGCGGCGGGCTGCTCTGATGACGATGTCATGGTGTCGTTTGATGAGATCCGGGGATCGAATGAGCGTTGAAATGAATCTCGCAGCCTTTTGTTTGCCAACCACGTGTCGTTGGGAGGGATGTGAAGAATCAAAATTCGAGAAGTCTAGTGAGGGGCATGATCCAAACACCCAGTGGGGTAATTCGCGTTTTTGCGGCTAGGGTTCACCGGCACAGAAAAGCTTATACTTCATTCCATTGGTCAGTGAACAATGAATAAAAGTAATACATCAGGATCTCAAACTGCAAGGTCCTCATACCTTAATTGAATGCATTAAAGAGCGATGGAATCGGAATCCAGCTCGAGAATAAGCGCCTCAATCACCCTCATAGCCCAGCTCAAAGAATGAACACGGGCTGTCTGTTCCCAATCAACTCACTTTTCGACACTTGCACATCCTTTTTGTCGAAGTCGTGCAACATCAACCAACAAATCATCCTAAATACAAGTGTATACCATATTGCCAAACGCTGCATCTCAATATGGTTGGGTACTATCGTTTCCCACTGTGGCAGCTCTGACAACTTGCTTGGCTGCGGAAGTTCCGGCTGATCACCAGGTTGCTCAGTCTCGATGCGATGAGGCCACGTCTTGACCCTGCTGATGCCGGGCGTGGGCGTCGAGTCGTCTAGAGCCTTGATTGGAGACTCTCCGGGGTTAAGTCTCAACGGCGACGGTGGGACTGCGCTGCCGGCTTGGGGTGAGCCGTTACCCAAGCGAGATCTTCGTTTCTCTGTGTCGTCGTGTATAGCTCTTGAAACGACCTCGTCATCTCGCTTACCCCTCTTAGTAGAGTTGGTAGGCACTACACGCCATAGTATGCGCTCGAAGTATGTCTCCATGAACCTTTGTTCTCTCATCTCCAGAGGGATACCAAGCAGGTCCCGAAACGAAATCTGTTCTTTTCCCCTTTTATCCGGACTGTTGATGGCTGCCAACACTTCCTGGAGGTGACGACGTAGCACATCGAGCACGATTCCCTGGTCTCGTTTCTTGAGAGATTTGTCTGCCACATCAATGGCTTTGTGCAAGAGACTCATTCTTTTGCTCGTTAGAGGCGGGTTCTCGTCAAAATCGTTGCTCATCTCCTCCGCTGACTCCGAAAGAGCCCTAATATCTTCGACGGCAATTTCAACCCTCTCATCAATGACAGTCTCCGCCTCTTCTTCAACAACCGTGAGATCGTTCATCAACAGTCCGCTAAAAGCGATGAGCAGACGCTGGAGTGACAGCGAATCTCTGTCCCAAGAGAAGATTGTTGGATTGGGCAGGAAACGGAAGCATCTTCCTTCAATGTGCAAAACTCGCGCGAGCATGCCGATGACCTCGAAGGTAACTGCCTAAAAGTAAGTCGAACATGCACAAACTCCCATAGATTCACTCGGTTAACTGATTACATACCAGAAAAGAGGTGCCGGTCTTTCTTTCCTTCTCTGTAGAAGAGCGTGGTTTTGCCGTTGCATCCTATCTGGGTCAAAGTCTCCGCAATGGCATCGCGAGTGCTCAGTTGAAGGATTTCGACCTTGGTTCCAGTTCCCGACGACGTTTTGAACTCCCTCTGCCACTCCAAGTCTTCGTCGGGATCCTTCTTAACTCGATAGAAAGTTGGCACTCGCCCAAAACAGAGCTCCTTCACTTCAGATGTCGGAATCACTCGTCGCTCCTCAAATACAGTGGGACCAGTTTTCTCAAAAACAAAGACGACGCCCAAGTCGGGTACACGTGAGCCAGTCAGACTATAGCCATTTCCTTCCGCGCGGTACTGGTTGTTGTCTCGGTCGAAGACTCTCCAATAGAGTCCAAGTATTGCTGCTAGCTCGACCAGATGAGAGATCGTAGAGGTTGCATAGGGCTTCTTGATGGAGGGGTTCGCATCGAAGCTTCTTTCCTTCGCCTGTACTTTCACGGCCAAAGTCGGCTCAGGCAGGTCCGGGATGATGGAACTTGGCAACCATTCCCCTTGGAGCTTCTTGCACTCCCATTCTTTGGAATCCTTCTCCATTCTTTCAAGGGCGATTAGAAGATAAACCCATGTTGCTAGCTCGTTGTTGACAGTGTGGACCTTTTCAGTAGGCTTAGACGGCTTTTCGTCGTTGGTTCCGTTGGCTGGTCCAGGGTTTGGGAATATCTTGGCATATTCGAGTCGGTTCTTGGTACAACTTTTCTCAGTGCCCTCCACGGACCACATCTCTCCTTTTTCAGGTTTATTCTGGTTGTTTGGGGGGGCCAGAAAGATGATTGGCGCCTCGAACCTAACCTCGAGACGTAGCTCCTTGAACTTTGGCCGTTTTGTCGTGCCTTTCGCCCATCCTCCCATCACGTCTTCGGTGCAATTGGGAAGCCCTTTAGCCGACGCAAAGATCGCTTGCATGATCTGTAGAGTCGCTGCAAAGAGAGCGACCACCGAGACGACGAGAGCAACAATCGCAACAACTACGTCGCTCCCTCCGTTAGCATTGCCATTGCTGCTGCTATTGTCGCTCGGGCTATTACTGGAATTGCTGTCGGCCATCTTGACGGATGTTCACCCCGTGAAACACCACGTAAAGAAATGACGAGTGCGACAGAGACCATCAAAGTCCGAAGTCTTCGCCAAGAATCCTATCCCATACGGCTGGGATTGAGAATGAGATCGGTGATGCTACCCCGCCGAGGAAGATTCCGTTGATCACCGGCGAAAGTGGGTCGCAAGTGGACGAGCCGGCGCCGGAGTTGTGAGCACGTGGACGGCGGCGACTAGCCGTGTCCAAGACCAAATGTCGGTGAAGGGTGTCTGGTAGTTTAAAGGACCATTGTTTCGACTGGAGACGACGTTCTCATCGAGAACGAGACATAAGTAAATAGATTAACGAAGCGGAAAAGTCGAGGACGAGGCTTTGGTGAACTACCGCAATTGATGATTTTGCGACGGTTCGCCCCGTCTCACAGGATTCGAGCTGCAGGTGAAGGCCGCTTATGCGGCATCCCTGGAAATGCGCATCATGAGGTCCAGCTCAGCCCATGGCGCAGCCCAAAACAGTCGGAAAGGGACACCGCGGATGTACGGATTTTGCGGCCTGCGTAGACTGCCTGATAAGCAACAACAAGAAAGTGTGCCATTGGTGGTCTTCTTCTGTGAGAGACTAGCCGTATAACCAATAATTCTGCCCGTCAACACAGGTGCGTCATCATGTCTCAACCATTGGGCAGAGTTCAATTGGAGAAGCTGGCAACTGTCACATCTCGCCAACAGCACTCTTCTGGCTCAAGCAGCAGGCTGCGCAGAGCCTCCTTTCTCGCATGGAAACCTGAAGGCTCTCGCTGCGGGCCTCAGTTCTTGCGTGCGAATTTGTCCATTGGAGTCTGCCTGACCAACCTGTCGCACGTTAGAGGTCATAAGCCATCTTTGATTTCTGACTCAGAAGCCGGCCGAAAATACTGATCGGCCCACTGGACCCAATGCCCGACGCATTCTCTGCTTACCCCTTGATTTCGGTCAACTTGCGATGATCAAAATGAGGTTGGAAGAAAATATTTAGGCGCCTTCCACTTTTTTGAGATTGGTGGTTTGGAGTTGAGTAGAGTGTTGTTGCACTGAAGGGTTGAACCCTGGCGAGCGGTTCGTCTGATGCTTTCGGGATATAAGGAAGTCTGTGCATAGTGTTATGCGGGATGACGGGGCCATGCCTCCATTCTAGAAGGATAACTATTAAGACATCCCCGGCAGCAGCGTCCTAGCGACACATCAATCAAAGTTGGCAATCATAAAGATGGTATGCTTGCTAATCATGGCTCGCCCTTACGACCTGGAAAGGAAGCAAGAAACTGTTTCCTTGAAAGGGACACGGATATGAAATTTGGAATCTTGAGCGTCATTATGTGTCTCAATTCGTGGTATTCTGGCTACTTAGATTTCAAACAAAGAAAATTACGCTTCGTTAGTTCTTCAATATCCCATGCTGACTCGAGTGATTTGATGCACTCTCCAAATCATCAGGGAGATGCTCGTAGGGCCCGGCCTTGCGATCTGTGTCTTGCCTGAATTCCGACACAATCACCTCTTTTGTTTGCATGATTCCCTCCATGGGGCCCAGCTTGCGTCGTGTGCTCATGGCATAAGCCTCCTCCTCTGCATTTCCGCGCCGGACGGTGGACCGATGCGTAGAGACATTGGTCCCTCGACCGTAATAGTGCAGTCCCGATGTTCCGCCGTGAGATTTTGACGATGACTTTGCTTGCCTCCTCTTGTTCCACAATCCGTACAGTGTCGGCGCGTTGACCACGATCGCGGCGGTGAGCAGTTCGGTGCTAGCCCATGTCGTTCGGTTGATTTGACTGTCCTTGTTCGTAATGTTGATCGGAAGTCGAATGACGGTAATGGCGATGATGAAGACGCCGAGCGTGAAGAGGGCGTACAGCTGAATCTTGCGTTGCCATGGCGTCTTCAAGGAGAAGACCAGGGGAAGTGGTAGTACGAGTAGCATAAAGTCGGTGACGATGTTGAGGACACCGACGACGACGAGTTGCATTTGTGCCTTTGAGCATGCGCCTGCAAGGGTTGAGAGTCAATAATCAGAGTTCGTTCCATCCCATCGGCATGTCTTGCATGTTCGGAGAATTGGCTAGTCACGTACCTGGGTCAGGAACAACCTGCCAGTAGAGATGGAAGGGATTGCATTCGCTGAACGTCGTCACCTGGCAGGCGACGTAGGTGCAGAAGAAGATGATGGAAAATGACCAGATGGTGATCTTCTCGAAACGAAGATTCAATAACAGTCGACGATAGACATCCAACAGGACGAGCTTCTGAAGCCAGAGGCTTGGGAGAATGTCAGTATGATTGATCGCAAAAGTCTAATAACCTTCCTGACTCAAACCGCTGCAGATTGTGACCAAACGGCCCAAAGGAGCGCTGAAGTCCAGGGTGGTTGAGGGTGCACGGTGAAGCAAATGGGGGCGGCACTGACTAGGAGTTGTAAAAGACCCGGTTCACAATGGACAGTTTGCTGCCGATCTCCCGCCTGTAGATCTCCTCGTCGGTAAATGTGTGATTCTTTCGATATGCCGCCGAGACGTTGTTCGTGCCCCAAGTCAAGACGACGTGGATGAGGCCGAGCCGCGTCAGAGCGCAGATAATGGCGGCGACTGTGAACCAGTCGCCCAGGTTGTATTCCTGTCTGGAGATGTGCACCTTTTTCCAGACCAGCCGAGCCACCATGATAATAAGAGCCAAGCAGCTAAAGAGCCAATGGATGAGTAGCGTCGGGTCGTCCATGGCCGGCGAGTGTCCGAGGCTCCGAGGGGGTCGACGAGACGATGGGACGGGACGGAGACAAGACAAGACAAGAGACGAAAAAGAGAGACGACGGAAAAAAAGGAGCCTCTCGAGAAGAGGAGCGCAGATTCGGGGGCAGATCATGAACATTATTATCTTCTCGGTTTCACGTCTACGTACTCATCGCACTAAGGTAGGGGAGAATAGGGGGCCTTGCTAGCTTGATACGCAAAGTCTCCCGATCCCAGCTTGCCCGAGGTACTGACCTGCTGTGTGAAAGGACCATCATACCATTCTCAGAAATGTTTGCGGGCGTGACCAGTCTCTGGGGAGTCTGGGACCTTGCCAATTCTTGTAGAGCGGCCAGAGCCTTGCAGAGAAAAGAGAAAAAAGATGGTCCTAGATGAAAGGATCAGGGCTTGAGACCTCCGGAGTTTGGATGCTGCGAACCCCAACTTTCCCTGGTGGTGGTTCGGATGCACGTCGGCTGTCGAGGAATCTCCATAAGATGTGTGATTGCGATGATCCACCGTGGGGCTCTTCCTCGCAGCAGAGACGCAGCTTGTGCAGCACGTACTCTTTCGTCTGTGTGGTTTGTCGACTTCTAGAAGCCGAGGAGGGCCGATTTGCGAGAGCCTGAGAGGAGACGTCTGGAATCTTGACCCAGATTCGCCTGTGCCGCTGTGCCGCTGAAGATTTGCTGCAGGATTTAGAGATGCCGAGGGAACAGGTGGAGCGCTAAAAGTCTTGCGTTGTAATTGTTCAGGTACATTCTGGACAGCCGATATTGATAGAAGTTTGTTTTGTTTGAGTTTGACAGCTTGACAGTGACAACTTTTTGTTTTTGCGCTCAGATGTTCTCAACGGCTACCAACGACGGGAGCGATTGCTTAGCCGATCGAATCCCAACTCAATACGGACGTTTACTAGTCTCCTTCGACTGCTTTCAACGAACTTCACTGAACTGAGTCTAGCGGCGGCGGGCGGCGTTGAACTTTACGAGTTTCTCCCCGGCTGGGGGGGTTTATCGGAGCAAAAAAGCTCACCGTGAAGAGAACGGGAATGGGCTGACCGTTGGTCCGCCGGCTACTAGCATCACAGCACTAGTAAGTGCCGCCACAGTCGTATTACACGTATACTTCAATGGTCCCCCTCCTCCAGGATTCAAGGCCGGGTTAGACGGGCTTGGCAGCCTATTGAAGGGCCTCCAGGATGATGGGATGTACCTACGGATAATGGATATTGTTGTGCAGACCCGATTTATTCAAGACCCAAAGATCACAATAGTGGGAAGAATGCCGGGTTTGCGAGATCATCGTAATCAGGACTTCGCCCCGCCGCTAGTTTGAGTTGATCAACCGAATCCCCCCCACGTTACGTTGAAGCGATTTACGGTAATAAGAATGTCGTCTTTGGGTCTCTTGGCTTTCCGCTGCCCGGCACATGGCTTTGACAGAATATTGACGGAACTTAGCCCCCAAACATGCCACATAGGGTCAGATTTCCTGCCTCAAGAATTGGCAAGAGTCAGTCACCTCGTCCGGAAACGTTCTCTGCCTGTCTTTTCTGAGGCTTTCTCTGCTCAATGGCGGAGATTAATGCTCGGGCTTGATCCGTAGTCAGCGGCCTAGTGGTAGACTAATATCCACGATGCCGGACTGATGCAACACTTGCTCCATTCTATATGAGACCATCGGGCGTGGTAGTCCCCCGGTCCCTGTCCGCCCGCTGACTCGCGCACAGAACACCACTCTAATATGAGCCGACCTGCTCTTGTTGATGGAGAAAATTTCTGGCAGAGCAAGCTGTTCGCGGCGGTGCGCCTCCTTTTGCGGCCTGCCTCTGTCCCGCCCCCCCGACTTCCGCCGTGATATCATCTCGTCCGCTGGGACAGCTGGGCCACAGCCCACCTCGACGGTCCTCGCTAGAGATCGGGACCTAGCCGCGTGGCGTTCTTGTTCTCGACCTTTCGGCTGACTGCCGCTCTTCAGACACACAGACCGAAGCGGGTGGATGCCGCTCGCCGGGCCCCCCAAGGCGCCCAAGGTCTCCAAGACCGGGCTTAATGTCGTATCACCCTTCCACGCCTCCATTCCTTGATTGTTCTTCTCCATCAGCCCTATCTTAAAATCACTCGAGGATGGACCCTTTATGCCAGGCTAGCGGAGCACGCGGCAAGGTGATTTTCATTCATTAAAGAAGTCCCAATTGCCACCCTCCCGTACCGCGTGGCCCAAAGTTTAATCCCCTGCTCAACC